ATGTATGTGTATTTTTTGACATGTTTTTTATGATTTATACATTCTAGGTTTGTAAACTTCTTGTTAAATTTGTGTTAAATTGAATAAAGATACCTATTTTTCCCTTATATGGACAAATTTTCCTTTCCATTTCTGCATTAGACAGGTTTGACTGTATTTGGTGTTAAAGCACACAAGTGTTTGAAAAAAATAGATTTAATCATTCTTTCAATACTTTCATTTGTGACATTCCAAAATTCTTCATGAATACTTTGAATGCAGAAAAGCTTTTAAAATGTAGATGAAACAATCTTTTTAACAGAGGTAACTGATGACAGTCAGTGTTTATGCCTTTATAGAAAGACTAATTGTTTCAGATTTTTTACTATCATGGCAAACTTGCAGGAGTGCAAAAAACAAACTCTTTGCATTATTTACAAAAATTAGTGGCAGTGTGCACCTAAAATTATTATTATTAAATCTATTTTCTCGTGTTTCTGTTTTTAACATAATTTTAAAATTTTTGCATTCCATGATTACAAAATAAATTGTAGCTATGTGTCAATTCCACGCGACACGTCCGAACATGTACGCTGAACAACAGTGTGGGGGGAGTGAGTAATCAAGAGTTTCGTGGCACTCAAACAAAAGACGAATCGACGAGATTTGAAAATCGCGTAACTCCAGGTTCACATAAGTTGGGGTAGCGTAAGTTGAGGTATTACTGTATTCAGTTTTGAATTGCCACTTGATTAAAGCTGAGTACATAGTTTTCTTACATGAATATATTGATTGCTGGTAAAATTTAAGTAGATTAACTTTTAAACATTTATAATTTATAAATGATAAAATATATTTTTTGATTAAAACAATGTTGTAGATACAAAAATAATAATTAAAATGCTCTCTGCTTCAGACATTTAAAAAAAATTTTTTAATGATTTGTAATTACAAGACAATAATTAATATGTTATGGAAAGACCAAAACTTGGATAAACCTGACTTAACTCAGCTAAAGTCCATGTTATCCAAAAGTTCTGGATAAAGCTAAATAAAATAAAAGTTTCTAGTTTTACTTGGATAATGTGTGGACTATCCAACTTCAATTGTGTAAAAATGAACTTTGTTATGAAAAAAATAATATAATGAATGGAAAGAGTAACATTAAGTTTTATTTATTTATTTCATAAAAATTGCATGATATAAATAATAAAATGCAAAAATAAGAATGAGTTTGTGGCTACTTGTTTGAATAGGACAAGCTCACAACATTTAGAATTACATAAAATTCTTGAAGATATGTATTTTTTGGTCATACATTTTGTCTTAGATTATGATCTTTTATAATCTTGGCCTCCCAAAAAACAAATTAGGATTTGCTAGCTGACAATAATTTCTTTTTTTGGTAATTCTGTGCTTAAATAAATTAATATTTTGTTGAAAACTGTAAAATAGTTCCTAGAAAAGCTTTCAACAAGTTGTCCCATTTTTGTTTCCTAGCTTCTATAACTTTTTATTGTCTACAACTCTACATGAACTATAACTGCAGTGTGCAATATTTTTCATCACTTGAAAAATTAGATACATTCTAGAAACAGAGAATGGCAAATGTCAATGAGAATGTCACAAAAGTACATGGCATCATTCTACAAGACTGCCATGTAACATTTTTGATTCATTGCAGATGAAATAAGGATATCAAACTAACATATGAAGATCACTATCCTGTTAAATTAGACACAAGAAAAGTTTCAGCATGCTTACCCTCACAGACTGACAGTCAATCAGAAATACATTCAAGAAAACAGTCATAATTTTATTTTTAGTGACTGAAAGCCAACAAAGAAAACTTTCTGAGCCATCTCATCATCCAAAATGAAACCTGAGTGCATCATCTTAATCCAGAACAAAATTCCAATCAAAACAATAGAAGCACAAGGACTCCTCACTTGCAAAGAAATTCTGAACTCAGCCATCAGCCAGCAAGGTCATGGCCTTGATTTTTTGGGAGATGGAAAGTGAGTGCTGCTCATCGACTTTTTGGTAGAAGGACAGTCAATCAACAGTGACTATTACATGGCACTGTTGCTCAACTGTGCAATGCAATTAAAGAGAAACACCTGGAGAAAATGAGAGAGAGGAATCATCTTCCATCAAGGTAACGCACTCAGTCACAAAGCATACTAGGTCATACAGACAATTGAAAAATATGCCTTTGAATTAGAACATTTCCCAGATTTGGCACTATCATTTACCAGTAATGGTAAGATATCTGAAACAACATTATTCAAATGACACCCATGCAAAAGTAGTGTGTGACACACAGGGCGAATCTTTTTTTATGAGGAGTTTCAACAAAGATGAAGAACCAGATGCATCACACTTCACAGGGACTATGTTGAATAGTTCTATATTTTCAACCAGCTGTGATAAGTATTTCCTGGTTAAGTCAGAACTTTTTCATCCAACCTAATAGAGATAAATTCATAAAAATGATTAATGTCTGATTTTGAAAAATTTCAAAATTTGATTAATTCAAATAAAGCTTCATTTTGATTTAAACTTAAATCTGTTTATAAATTTATTTACTAACTGAAAACTGATCTTCAAAGACATTAGTCACAGTTTGATAAATACTTATGTAAAATATTTATCTTAGTGTTATAGTTCATACCTAGTTATTTACTTTGATAAGTATGTTTAATTAGCACTTGTAACATTAAAACAAATAATTAATATAAATTTTTGAATGTTAATCTGAAAAAAAAAAAAACACATTTATGAATGTATAAACCATTTTAATAATGAGGTGTCAATTAGCAAGCTACAGAGAATAAAAAGAATTAATTAAAAATAGATTATTCCAATATTCCTTTCTTAATCTATATATATATATAAAATTACATGTCCTGACTGACTGACTGACTCATCATTGCCCAGAGCAAACCACTAAACCTAAAGAAGTGAAATTTAGTACACAGTTAGGGTACATCATGAAAATGCACAAAAAGAATTTTTTGAAATTCCCAGGAGGGGGGAGAGAGAGGATTAAGGCTTAAAAAGTCTTAATCCCAAAAGCAGTACCACAAATGTGGTTTACAAAGAGGTACTAAGGTAACTGAAACTCTATTTTTCAGCAAATATTTATACTTTAGAAATTTCAGATAACGTCATTTATGTTAAAAAAAAAATTGAAATCAGATTTATTGTATCTCGGAATCCCATAATATTTGAAACTTGAATTTAGATGCATTAGCAGTCCATAATTTGAAACAAACAAAAATCAGTAATTTTACCAAATTAGTAACAAGTAATGATTGAGAATCTTAGTGAAGTACCAAGGGAGGATTATTTCAATCAAATTGCAAATGCCACTAGAAATTATATAAAATAACAGATATGAAGTTTTCCAGAAAAATCATAGTATTGATTTGTTAGGTTACTTGATTATGAATTAAGTTATTCTAGTTATTGTTAAGTCTTGTTCTCTATATTACATACAAAAAACAAAAAAAAATTTTTCTTTCCAGGAATGATAAAATTTATTTTATTTTATTTTTTTAATTTTTTCCACCTTGTGGGCATTAAGAGGGCCTCTTTTTGCAAGCCCGGAGCAGCCGGGTGTTGGGGGACGAGGCCCAACATATCCAAACGGACCACTCCCAAAATTCCTGAGGATTTATCGACCTGTCCTGATTTGAACCGGGGGTTTCCCAGAGCGGTTGGCTGCCACCTTGACCGCTCAGCCAAGGTAGCAGATTTATTTAATGTTTATAAATAGGCCTACTATTGCATATTTCATCAGGCTGGAATGTTCATATAGTTTTTTATTAATACAATTATTAATCCAACATCACTCAGAATAACTCCACAGAATCAAGTTTTAGTTATCTCTTGTCATAGCTTAGTTATTCTTTATGTCATAATTTCAAATGTTTATTTCAAAAAAAATTAGTTAAGTAAAACTATTAACTGTCAGTCTTTTACAAAAAATCATACCAAAATTTATTTAATTCATTCAATGTAAAATCAAAATCATAACCTGTAAGTAAACAGAAACAATTCATTAATGATAAAATACAAGATAATAAATATGCACGTGAACATAGATTAATGCACATTACCCAAAATTTGTTTTACACATTAATTTTGCATCAAAATCAAATTCGGCAAAGGTAACATCACTTTAATCCACATTTAAATTAAACAACCACGACATCCAATGGTAATACTTTAACCGAACATCAACACATCAAACAGATATCACAGCGAGAGATTAAATTTCGATAAATATTTAGAGATTAAACAAATACGGGAGCCAAAAATAGTTTGGGTTATATCATTTATCGCATTAAAGGAGATTTTAAATCAAAATCTCTATTTAAATATGGCAAATTAAACGATCGGGCGACAAATTCGATTCTTTTCGACGCGGTCTTCAAAAACGACTCGACTTTAACCCGCAAGCGATAAGAGAACGACACGATTCGTATCAGTCCGTCGTTATCTTTTGCAAGACGAATCATCCGAAAAATCAAACTCGAAAGAATCCGAAGGCGTCGTGTGGCTTAATATAATCAAATCTAAACGATTTCATTTGTTACGAAACAAGACAAACAGAAATTTTGGTGTAGGTGTAAAATTATTATATATTAAATTACAAAAATGAGAGAATATTTTTACAGTTTCCTAATTCAAAAACAAGACTGCAACAAAAAAAAATCATTGAGTTACAATGTTTACATTAAAAGGAATTGCAGCTACAATTACCGAGTGCATTTATTTTGATTAGTGGAGTGTGATTTGCATTTTGTGTTTACAGATTACGGTTTTGTGTGGTAGAAATGAATATAAACGCGTTAAAAATAGGAAAATGACGAAGAAAGACTTCTCTCGAATGATTCTCAAGGCCAAGGAGAGTTAAGTCATTGGTGAGTCATTGATAAACAACAATTTCCTTCCGGATACTCGACTCCGATGGCGATTAACTAACGAAATTTTAAATAATTAAACAAATTTACCTTTTTCAGGTTGGTTTGTATCGATGTGAGCAATTTCTCCTTCGTCGATTCATTCGCTCGCAGAGTCTCCACCATAGTCATCGAGACGACATTCGACATCATTTTATCGTTACATCTGAGACCCTACGTCGTCGTATTCTGCGCGTATTCAAAAAATAAATACCGTTATTCCAATTTCAGATAAAATATTTCTCTGTTTATAAATGTATATTCCGTTCACCTCCGTCCGTACGTCCATCTCTCTTCCCTTTAAATCATAACGTTTAGTTCGCTTATCGGCCGCCGGGTGGATCGGTGACGAAATGCTCGAGTTAGTTTCGGTTTTTCCATCATGGTCGAATATTCAAAAATTCCAAATTAGTTTTTCGTAAATTATAAAACAAAATGTATGATTATCTGTTTATTAATTGTCTTTGTGTGTTATTACTCGATTATAAAATAATTAAAATCAGATCTGTTCAAGGGAAAGAAAATATTACGTTATTAAATATAGTTTTACTTTGGTCGAACGATTAAGGTGGCGCCCTACAGCTCCGAGGACCGGGATCGAATCCGGACACGTGCGACTAAATATCCAGATGGCACAACGCGCTGATTGGTCGGCTGAATGACGTCAACCTACTGGAAATGTTGATCAATTAGCCTAAACTTTGTAAGAGTTTTGAGAGCGGGCAGACGTTATAATTACAGACATTTAATCTAAATCTCGATAAAAGGCACTTATAATTTCACTAGCTCTTGTGTGTATTGACATTAATGTTATAATTAAACTAAATTACGTGGCATCAAAGATTTTAATGTTGAGAGAGTTTTAAACATCGAGAAGTAACTTTTGTGTTTTTCATTTCAATAAAGCATTTTTGTACATTTCCTATAATAATAAAATAATCAAAAACAACAAATGTAAATTGCAAATTAAGATTTTTTTTACATTCTTTATTAGATAATACAGTATTTTTAACCTTACAGAAACTTGTATTTAATGTTTTATACAGTAGAGCGTCGTTTATCCGAATCAATTGGGGACTGGGGTTGTTCGGATAACTTATTTTTCGGATAACCAATTATGTACAAAAAAATATATTAATTTATCCCGTGTAGAAATTTTTCTCCGTTGTGTGTCGCTTCGCGTTGAATTTTCGTCAATGTTAAGCTTAACGAAGACTATTGTATCGTTAAAAATTATTTCTTTATTTTGTACAAACAAAATAAATATATTGAAAAATATAAAAACAATAAAAAATTATACTTCAGAAGTTAATTTAGCATCAAAAACGTAAAATATTTGAGTAGCCGAAGACATAGCCAAAGATTACAGCGCCACAGCACTGGCGAAAATTTAAATTTGTCGACTGGAATTCCTTCGGATAACCGACCTTCGGATAAACGACGCTCTACTGTATATATATTACAACAGAATATGCTAAGTGGAAATGCAGATTAGTTAACAATTTAATATAATTTTCACCTAAACATAATTCATAGTTTTTAATGCATAATTGTTAAAACATTGTAAATAATAAGATATCTTTTCTACAAATTCTCCAATCCATTGGTTTGCTTTTCAAATCAAATCCTGTGGAAACTTAATCACTTCGCTTTATATTTTCCTACGCAACACAAACAAAAATAGCTTACTATGAAAACATTACAGTACAAATGCAGCATTACTTTTTCCTGGCATTTATATTGATAAACAATTTCCATGATGAAATGCGTAGAAATTCTTATTTAAAACATATTCAAAGGAATTTAAATACTTACAGTATCATTGATTATTAAATAATTTATACAAGAATTCTATACTTTTAATTTGAAAAATGGTCATATAAATTTGATTAAACATATTTACAGATACTGTATATCTATTATGGAACTGGATACATAAAATTTCTTTTTTATATTAAATTTGAAAAGTATTGTTTCTTAACACACAGATTTTGAACTGACATTCAAAAGCACAAAATATCTATCGATAGAAAGAACTGTCAATCCTGACTAAAGCATTAAAAAAAATTTTCTGATGACAGTAATCTAAGGAGAATAGGTCTATTCTTTATTCAAAATTGTTCAATAACTTTTACATTTAAACTTTATAATTTGTTAAGCAAGATTTGTGAAAATTTCTCTTTCAGGGATATACAAAACTTAGCTAATTTTATTGTTTCGTCTAACTATATTAAATGCGTGTGACAAATTCAAAAAATTATTTGACTCGTCTTAACTGTAAATTTCATCCTTTCTCGAACTTTTTGTAAATAATATCTGTAACAAATTATAAATTTTCTGTTATTCATTATCTGCGCGCGTATATTTAAATTTAAAACACTAATCGGACTATTAAGATTATCTATTGCGTATGATTTGGTTCAGAGGTAATGTACAGTACATAAAGATCAAGTATGAAGTTAAAATTCGTTCAAAAAAATAAACAATCTTAGTAATTTATTAAGTAAAAGTAAACCATTTTAAAATTATTCCTATAAATTTAAGAAAACATGCGAGCTAAACTTTATACTGCATTTTCACTTTATACTTACTCAATATTACAACTAAAAAAATAATCTATTTCTGCGTGACTTTGTTCTGACGACCACAAAATATAATCGGCCAGCATTTCCTATTTCGGTGGGTTGACGTCATTCGGCCGACCAATCGGCGCGTTGTGCCATCTGGATATTTAGTCGCACGTATCCGGACGAGTCTTCTTCTTCTTTTTCTTCTTCTTCTATTTGTTTATATGGAGAATTTAGCTGTCCGGACGAGTCGAAAAACCCTGGGAATTTTTGGGGGATGGTTAGTCCGAATCAGCGTTGCCGCTTCTACCGATTGAAGCACTAAATCTACCGAAAAGTTGACGATAATTCAAGAAAGAAAATTTTATCTTTAATGTATCTAAAAATTCTCAATAAAACATTCTTTTGTACCTTCATTTCTTATATATTGTAAAAGACTTTATTGCAATACAAAGTTATTTCTGCTTATCTGTTTAGCGCCCTCTATTACGTAGTAGCATAATCATTGGTTACATTATAACAGAAATCGCCAAAAATGTACTCTTTTAATTATTCACACTGTGGATAATTAAAAAATATTAGAAATCCAAAAATGAGTGACCAAAAGTATGTGAAATAGTGACCAAAAGTATGTAAAATAGTGGTGATGAAGGCTCTAGTACCGGTGTTACTAAAAAATAAATATGAACAATTCTAAAACACGAGTGGGAAGCCCTAACAGAGTTCAAAGAGCGGTTAACCCAAAGTAAAAAGAGCGACAATTTATACTTCGCAAGCCTTGTGGCAAAGGCATAAATATTTCAAGTGGAAAATCCGCATTATATGAACCCGCGTTATAGGGGGGTCGACTGTACTTAATTAGTAAATTATTTTTTTACATAAATGTTCTGTATTAGTTTTTTTATTGTTTTATAGTTTATAACAAAATAAATGACGGAAAACATGTCATTGTTTATGTGCAACCCTCTTACTGCAACAAAAAGTCATCTACCGAAAATTGCCCAAGGAATCTACCGATGGCAAGCAAACGGCGTGGCAAGTGGCAACATTGGTCCGAATATGTCAGACCCTTCATCCAAGGTCTTATATATTCTAAGACCTTGCCCTTCACCATCCATCCGCTCCGTTGTGGGTCTGGTCGAATCCGTGATAAGTTTGCTAAATGAGGCCCTTTTATGGTTTAGCTATTAACTGCGCGATCAGTCGAAAAGTACGAACACTTTATTTTTTAAGTACGACACGGACAAAGCCTTTAAAGTACGGACGTATGGTAATCCTACCACGAGGCGGAGTTTTCAAAAAGCATTATGTTAGCACCATATTTACATATTATCGGTGTAAATATAATCTTTATAAAAACATTAATGTTTTAAATATATTGTAATATTATCTTTTGCTTGAGAAGTGAATAATAATAAGATCGCAAACGCAAATTAATGACTATTTAAAACATATTGTTCTCGATGACGAAACAATCTTGTTACCGTAAACGACATCAATGACGAAATTAATTCAATGTTTCATTATTTTTATAAATTAAAGTTTTCTTAGAAATAAATTAAAACAGGTTTTAATTATTTTAGTTAAATCTCAATCATCTTTGTATCGCCTTTCTATTAAATACAATAACATATTTTCATTTCAACCAATTTAATTGTATCGTAACAAAAAAAAATGGAAAACGCTATAACGTTTTGTAACAATACAAAAATAATAAACAAATAATAAAAATGTTGCAAATTTAATTTTTGTAGATTAAAAAACGATTATTTAAGGCGTGCCGCTCGGGTGGTAGTGTGGAAAGTAAAGACGCTCCTAAAAGGAGGATCCGGGTTCGCTCACACTTAGAATAGACTCTACCTTTCTTTTATTGTGGCCTCCTAATTTCAAAGACGAAATAACAACAATTTACATTTAAAAAATACAATAAAAGTAAGCGTTGTAAGATATTTTTGGAGTCTTGTTTTGTTTCTATGTTTTATTTTCTAACATTTTTATTTATTTTATTTTGTTACTCTTTTTAACCTGTGAGAACTAACAGGATCTTCTTAAATGTATCCGATGAAGATTGCATAGTGCGTACGAGTAAGAAGATTCTGAACAATATATTCTGTAACAATAAGTTAAATGCATTTCCAAACATTCTTGATTTTCGTTTTGAGACCTCTTAACCCAAAAAAGTCAAAAAATTAAAAATAAATAAATAAATACTCCGTGTGTATACTTTGGTACCTGTAAGAAATGAAATTTGGAAAGATAGTTTATGTATAAGGAGCATAGATGCAGGGGATCTAGGGTTTTCGGGGCCTAGAGCTTATTGAAGTCCGATGAAGCCCCATTTTTTTATTAATATAGTACAAATAATAATCTAAATTACTATTATATTATTCATTTAATATTAAAAACGCTTCCTTTATTCTGTACACTTTTACAACGAGTTAGAATATTAGCGAGGTTGCGGCCGAAGTTTTCAATGCGAAAACGTGACGTTCACGTTTTCGCATTGAAAACTTCGGCCGCAACCTCGCTATTCTAGCTTTTACACAACACAAATGACACGCCCCTTGACTAAACGGCAAATGGAGGACGTGTATTCAATTTTCTTTAAACGCAGTGTCGCTACAGCCACTCTATGTAGTGTGACCGGAGGGTCGGCGCCTATTTAGCGCCTTTTAGGACTGACACTACCGTGTCCCGATTGACACGGAAGCCGAGACGGCGTATTGATTCGGTATTAGAACGTTGGTCACGCGAGCGGCTGCGTGTGCGGGGGATCGGATTCGGGATGGAGGAGTGTTGAGAGACGGCGTACCAAAAGTATATCACTCGGATGCCAGGTTAACTAAACAACCGTTTATTTGTAAAGGAAAATACATTGTACACAATTTATAGCGTTAACGAGTTATAATAAATCGAGTTAAAATAGGTCTACATATTTCCGCGGTTCTCGAGAGATTGAGTTTACAGTGGTTCGCGAGTCGATAAATACCTGGAGCAGAGGGTGTCCTAGGGCAACGGTCCCCAACCTTTTTATTGTTGCGGACCGGTCAACGTTTGATAACTTTACCGCGGCCCACTGAGGGGGGACGTTGATTGTTCATATTTTATATTGATTTAATTCAATAATTTTAATTTCACTGTATTTAAACATGCCTTCAAAATAAAATACAGTTACACCAAAAAATGAATACGTATACAGTAATGTGATTTAACATTTTAACTCACTAGAACGCTAAATCAATGAGAACCCTGAGCTTATTTCTTTGCAACGAGACGGTTCTATCTGGGGGTAATAGAAGACAATGACACCCGAAGTGTGTTTCTTATGTCCAGTTTATTTCGTTGTTCTGTCGTTTATTAAAAGTCGCACAAACCCGAGACAAATACACCATAGTAAATAAAATGGAAATAATTTAATGTTCCTTGGGCGGCCCGGTACCATTTGATCCATGGACCGGTACCGGTCCGCGGCCCGGGGGTTGGGGACCACTGTGACCTAGGGGATGGGGTAGAGGTTTTGTTGTGACTAGGGTGACAGGCTCTTAAAGTTATTTCGTTTTAGATCATCGGGAAAGTACCCAATAACAAAATTAAAACAAATAAAAGAAACAAAAAAAAAAAACAAGAATAAACCATAATCAAAAACAAGAATTAAAGGTAACATCAATACAATCTCCACATCAAAAATCAAAAAAATAACACAAACCGAATCACCGATAGTTCGTCTTTTAGTCGATTTTATTTAGGCTTTTACTTGTAGGTGATGTCCGAGTTGCAAGTAGGAGAGATATCCAATCGGATAGGATCGGATATTAGATACCTACTAACTACTTATACAGCGCCGGCCCGAGGAAAGTTTTAGGATGGAGCGAGATCCTATTATGGCGCCTCTGTTGGTTGCCCCTAATTTGTACCATTTAATTTTCTTTACCACTTGGAGCCCCCTAGGACTTAGCGCCTGGAGCGGCTGCTCCGTTTGCCCTATGGTAGGGCCGGTTCTGTACTTATACATAGTTAACTATAGAAATGTTACTAAAAAACAATGTAATTTAACTAGTTTACTATTTAGTGACTTTGTTTTTATAAAAAATAGTTGAAATTGTATGTACTAGTTAATAACATTTAAACCCCTCAGAAATAACAAAAAAAGAAAAAAAAAACTTTTAACACTTTATTTCTTTTTAAAGTAAAGTTATCAGATAGACTACTAGACTTACTCTTAACGTTTATAAAAGCTTAAATTTGTCGTGATGCCGTAGTGCTTGCTCCTCTTAATTGTCTATATTCACGCAGAATGTAAGAAAAGAACGTGAAGATTATGGACTTATCACAGGGTGGTGTATATAGGAAAATAGATCTGAGTTAAAAGTGTCCACAATTTCAACGTAAGAAATTATTTTTGTATTACACGGAAAACCCTAAATACTACCCCGGGAAGCGGCCGGATGGTCGAGCCGTCAAGGTGACAGTCTACCGCTCTGGGGGTCACGGAATCGAATCCGGACGGGTCGAAAAAATCCCAGGAATTTTTTGGGGGTGGTCCGTCCGAATATGTCGGACCCCGTCACACACCACCCGGCCGCCCTATTGTGGGCCTCGCTAAAAGAGGCCCTCTTAGTGCCCACAAGACGGAAAGAGTAAAAAAAGAAAAAACAATTATACCCGGAACCTGAAGCAGTTTTGAGTTAACGCGGCTAGACTTAGCGGAGGTTTATTGTAATTGTAAAATTTTATAAGTTCCCAAAAGCTTTTGGAATTGTATAGAACAGTGGTACCCAAACTAAGTCTCCGCCAAATCTGGTCCTCGACGTAAGTTAATCCCGTCACTTATAAATGATAAAAATGGGTTGTATACATGGAGTATAGAAAATATTCGTGGCCCTACGACTTATGCGCAATTTTCCCCGCCAATCGCTTGTCTCGTTTACTCTCGGATTCAATCTTTAATCATCGGAATACTTACTTCTTATTTAAATTAGTAATAACAGATTGTTTTCGTTGTCGAACTCAACATACCAGATCGGTCGGCTCGGGTCCGTCAGCCGAGTATTAATAGAATATTTTGCAAAAGCATGCAAAAATTTTTTTATACAAAGACGACAGACGATTAGAATGTTTTAATACAAAATATTCTTACGCATTCCAAGTACGCGTTTTTCAAAGCGCGAATTTCAACCATTTGTAAAAATGCAATTCGATTTCCATCGGCAACGTATTTTTTACTGGCCGAATTACATTTTTACAAAATAGACATCGTCGTTTCGAACGAAACACGCGCTAAAATAGTATTGCGTAGCATTCGAGTACGAGTATTCGATTCCAACGAAAGGAGCAACAGTAGCGCGATACTCGCCCGTAAAATGTAGGTTCACTGTATATAAATTAATATATAACGACATTATCTTACGTATTAAATTATCGTTATTATTATTAATTATTTCTATTTGTTATTATTGCTTTAAGTTAAGTTTAAGTACAATTTTAAATATTCGATCGATATAAAATATAATAGTAATAATTATTTAATGCGTAGAAATTTCTGGAAAAAAAAATTTCCGATAGAGGTCCCGTTTATTGAAACACGTTGTCTGTAAACTGCACTGTTTATAGAAATTATTGTAAGTTATTAATTTAAAGATGAGTGGGAGAAATCCGAATAACTTGCAGGAACTTTTAAAAGTGTGTTTGGAAGCCAGCGGCTCCAATGACGATAATCAAACAAATCGAATGAACCCTGAAGTAAGAGAATTTTCAAGTTTCTGTTATTTTTACACAAATTTCAATATTTGCCTATAAAAGTAGCTTATATTATTATTGAAATTCATTGATATGGCAACATTGCAGAAAATTTACTCTATAAATAGCTTTTACGGAGTGAATTTTAAGCTTTAATACCTCCACAAATGTTGAATATTGTCTGTAATATAAATACAGATAAATCATAAAAAAAGACCCCTAAAATTCGAGGTAGTCTTATAGGAGAGATACAAAAGAAATTAGATTAAAATTTATGTAAATTAAAACCATTATAAAATAAAATAAAACAAATCGCTCATCAATGTATTTAAAATCCTGCAAAATCCTCACATTCGTCACCTAAGGCAAATAGTTCCTCAAGTACGTTTCGTTGTTGAGAAGCTCGTCATACGGTTCCCATTCTGTACCTAGCGAGTCAATTTCCACTTTGTTATCGGTATCCCGTAACAAATCGTCCTCGGTGCCATCTGTAGCATTAGAAATCCCACACTTTTTAAAGGATTTGCTCACTGTTTCCATTTTCACTTTTTACCGTGATTTGATCACAAAATCACACGGCGCATCAAGTGACGCAGCCCACAAAACTCCACCTTTCGTATACGACTTTTCACCACTTATCATCCAGTTATTGCATTGTCCAAGCATGTGATTTTTGAATGGTTTAATCAGAGAGATGTCTAAAGGTTGTAGCATCGAAATTAATCCACCCGTTATAACAGCAATCTTAGTGTTATTCTGTGCTAAGTGATTTTTAGAGTTCTCAGTTGCGTGACTGTGAAACATATCCCGCACCAACAAACTGTGTTGATTTCGTAGAGCACCTGGTCGCTTCTGCCACACATTTTCCATCCACAATTTTACACCATTCTTGTCCATCCAACCCTTTTTGTGAAAATGTTCAAAAATGTCAGGTGGGAGTTTTATTTTAGGAGTAGTTTTCCTCTTGAAAATGATCATGGGTTCTAACTTTGTTCCATCTGCCATGCATGTTAATACTACTATAAACCTGGTCTTTTCACAGCCTGTATTTCTGACTTGAACAGTTTTTATGCCTTTTGTTTCCATGGTTCTATTCTTTATTATGTCAAAGTTCATCAGTGTTTCATCCATATTTCCAATATTAGATAATGGAAAGTTGTATTTTGCTGCATACCAATAACAAACTTGTGAAAACTCATGACATTATGATCAAGATCTTATGGTAATTTCTGCACAATTTTTGTTTTCTGTCATATTACCAGATTTTATCTGTTCATGAAACGATTGCACCAACCTACTGTTGCTTTAAATTCTTTGTCTTGTTCCGGATTGGCCTGTGCCCACATCAATGCATAAGCCCTAATCATGTTTCTTGTAACAACATAACAATTTTGCCTCTATTCTTGTACCCATTCTGCAATGTTATTTTCTAAATGTGGCCAGCAAGCTATTCCTCTCATCATAGAACATATTTTTGTTGGCATTTTTTTAATATCATCTTCATTCTTTCTCCCATCTCTTACTATCTTCTCTGTTATATTGAAAGCCTTTGCTGCAACACAGTTGTTTGATTCTTTAGCCTGTTTTATGATTTTTAACTTGAAGCTTGCTTCATATTTCCTTCTCTTTGTTGGTTCCATGATTAGGCCCACACTTTACACTGATTACACTTATAGTACAAATTGTTTGAACACACAACACACAACACTACAATGAAACTTGTTAGAGGTACAGTACATGTGAGTTAATGATTTGGCATGTGATTCTATAGGCAAAAACGTAACAATGAAGAAGAAGGCTTTTCCTTTATGTGTGCAACCACCAACTGTGACTGATCTTGAAAATTACTAAAACTTATTGAAAAATCTATCATATTATTTAAATACGCTATATGAGTTATGTAACAATAAAGACAATACTAGAACAAAATAAATATTAAAAATTATTCTTATCGAGCTACTGAGGAAAAAACAGACAAACCGTAATTATTTACTTGTAGAGAGTAGGGAATGTACACAAAATAGAATAGTCCATACGACATCTTTGTGAATAGTCAAGGTCATTACCCGAATGCCCGAATCAGTGCAAATGTTTGCAACAATCGCAAGGCAAGTAAATAAAATTTGTTCATTCGAAAAATTATGAATAGGACATAATTCCATATACGCTACACAGTATTATTATCCAGATGATGATTGCTGATCTAAAGTAAATTTATAGGCCATTGATAGTTTGGCGGTCATCTTACAGGACAGATATATGCTAAAAGTATAAAACTTTGACAAAAATTTATACCTCATCTTATCTGAAGATCATCTTAATTGTGGAAATATATTATACTTGCAATATTTACTGCAGTACATTTTACAGTAAATTTTGCTGAGAATATCTGCATTTGCATTATTTGAATTGAAATTTATTACTGAAAACATTTTCAACTAGTTATTAATACAGTGGTACCTCAGGATACGAAATTAATCCATTCCAAACTGAGATCGTATCATGAAAATGTCGTAAGGTGAACCATTTTCCCCATACGATTACATGTAAAACCAAATAATTCGTTCCAACACGAAAAACACACTTAAATTAAAGCAAAGTAGTACATTAAAAAAAAATAACTATAGTAAGGAAAACACTGAAAAATGCATTTTGTAGTTGTAAATGTATAAATAACCATAATAGAATAATTGATAAAAAAAAAATGCACTTTACCTTTGAGGATAGACGGTGGTGGAGGTGTAAACTGGTGGCAGAAGAGAGAGAGAAGGGAAATGATACTAAAACTTAACTTACATAACATAATGTAACAATAACTTAAAAATAACTTAGAAAAGATAAAAAATTAGTGTTGTTTTATATATATATTTTTTAATTTTTATTCACAGCTTTTTGCTTTCTTTCTTTCACTTCCACCAGCACTTTTGCTGGATAGAGGTCGCTTGGTAAAATATTTATCCAAAGAGGTTTGGCTTTGCCTACTTTTTAAAATGTTTCTAAAATGACTTAGGCAAATGTCATTACTCCAAGTGGCAATACGGCCAGTGTGAACCTTTTCTGGATGTTTCTTTTCAATAAAATCAGTCACTTTCTGATAATACCTCGAGATTTCCTTTATCGAGCGAGATCCTTCCACGACGAAGCAAACACGCGGACTGAGACTGATGAACAGAAGTGAATAAAAAATGGCGCTGTGAACTAATGTAGCATTATATGGTGAATTTTTGTTCGTATCGTGGAGCAAAAATACTGTATGTTTGAATTTCATGTCGTATCCTGAAAATTTCGTATGCTGGGGCATTCATATCCTGAGGTACCACTGTATATCCATTTATTATATCTGATATGATTAAAAACATTTGAAACTCAAAATGATACTCTAGAGCAGTGTTTCCCAATCTTTTTGGATTAGCAATGCACTTTGAATATATAATTTGTAATAAAATAAACACCATATACAATTTTCCAGCAATAGCAGTTTTTGTGAGTCCTGTTGCTGGAAAATTGTGTATGGTGTTTATTTTATTACAAGCTATCTATTCTGGTTTTAATTTTGGACTTTAACTTTGAATTTAACAAGACTCCTGTGACACGCTGCAATTTTCAAAATAAAAATGTTTAAAATTGCCACAATTGTGTTTAAAATTTAAAATAAATCACAGCTCTTGTAAAAAAATATTGATAATACGGAAGTTAAACTTATGAAGAAAAAAACTTAGTTTTACAAATAACTATAAAAAAAATAAATAAATAAGACTATTTGAATCAATGTATAAAAAGCTAGTATTGGCTCTAGTATTTTAAAGAGCTTTAAGCTGGTAAGTCGCAACATTTATAGAAGCTCCAAAGAGTTGGTGTGCCGGCGTATGCATAGACATGCACGACTTTTATGAGCGGTATGCTGATGCCGCAAATTTTGCAACGGTTGGCATTTTAATGAATACCTCCTCCTCCTCTTCCTTCTCCTCCACCATTCAGTCAGTGGCAGTAAAATGATGAAAGGCAAATGAAATTTTAAAAAAAAGCTTATTCAAAATTATAAGTTATCTAATATTTCCATGACACACCCAAGACACTCTTGTAACACAAATGTGTCATGGCCACATGGGTTGGGAAACACTGCTTTAGGGTAATGGTAGGCTGTGACCATGTGGATAAAAGTGCCTCTTCTGAATGAGGTGGTTGTCCTTATCGCAGCTGTAGTCCACACCTGCAGAAGTAAAATAGTCAAAACAATGGTCTGTGACCCTTTGTGAGATGTAACACCAAAATCAACATATGTGCTGGTTGTTAAACACTATAGACTTAATGGAACATGCAGTGTGATTCTGACTGCACCCTGGAATTAGTCAGTGCAATAGTGTTTCTCATGTTTTATGAGCTTTTATTCATCTCTAGTAAAAATGGAAAACAATTGACCTTTAGCGTTGTTTTGAGAAGTAGTTCCAGATTTTTTCACTTTTAAATTTTACCTCATTTTTGAGGGTCTTCAAATTTCAGTTGGCCTTTTTTTTTTTGTTTTTTTGTGGGGAGCAATATCTCTTGAAGGGTCATGTGAAGACCATTGGTTTCTTTGACTTTTTGCTTTTGCTCCTACGGACATTGTGTAGAGCTCTGATAAAGGGTGTGTTCTTTTATTCCTCTGAGTAACTCTGTGCGAGAGGCATTCGTTTAAAAATTCCTGTGGAATTCATTCCTATATTTCAGCTGATTGTTTTGTGGCTTTTTTTTTGCAGTTTACTCATTATGCATGTATGTGTGTGTGACATACTTATGGCTGAGAATATCTCAATTTTTGTTTCATTGCATACTATTCTGTTGTTATTTATTCCACAAACTCTTTGTCACTAAATATGACAAATAATTGATGAACTTTTGTAACCTTGAAATATCTCATGACTATAGTTGAGAGGCAGCATGTCAGATATGGTATTCTGAGGAGCATTTTAAACCATTCTTGCAATCTGTATGCAAAAACAAGATTTAATACTTAGTGTTTTCTA